TATAGTGCTGAGGTCCCTTCTATTGATTCTGTGCCCATTGTTCGTGAATCTATTGATGTTTTCCCTTCTGACCTGCCGCATATGCCACCCAACAGGGATATTAACTTTTGCATTGATTTGGCTCCGGGCACTCAACCCATTTCTATCCCACCGTATCGTATGGCCCCGCCTGAGTTGAAATAATTAAAGGAACAGTTGCAAGACTTGCTTGAGAAGGGTTTCATTAGACCTAGTGTTTCGCCTTGGGGTGCGCAGGAATTGTTTGTCAAAAAGAACGATGAGCCAATGAGAATGTGTATTGATTACTGGCAATTGAACAAGGTAACAATCAAGAATAAGTATCCGTTGCCGAGGATTGATGATTTGTTCGATCAACTTTAGGTTACCAAGGTATTTTGAAAGATTGACTTGAGATATGGCTACCATCAGCTGAGGATTAGGGCATACGATGTCCCTAAGACAGCTTTCCACACTCGGTACGGGCATTATGAGTTCTTGGTTATGTCATTCGGGTTGACAAATGCCCCAACAGCTTTTATAGATTTGATGAACCGAGTGTTCATGCCTTATTAAGATTCGTTCGTGATAGTCGTCATTGATGATATATTGATATATTCCCGCAGCCAGGAGGAGCACGAGCAGCACCTTAGAGTGGTTCTTCAGACTCTGAGGGATAGTCAGTTATGTGCAAAGTTCTCAAACGTATTTACTTCTTACTGTTGATTCCCTTGCTGGGATATTGTTGTTCCCTTATCGGGATTCTTTTTTGATTGGTGTTGAATTGTATATTGGGATCGGGTTGCACGCCGCAATAATATTATATGGGATCAGGTTGTACGCCGTAACATGGAGTAATAAGGGAGGACATGAGGGGTCGGGTGCATGCCGCAATAGTGATATACGATATGGATCGGATTGCACGCCGCAATAGTGTTATGATCTGGATCGGGTAGCACGCCGCAAAAATAAAGGATAAAAGTGGATATTGATTGGTTATTGTTTCCTTATTCTTACTGATGCGAACTTTAAATTGTTCTTTATGCTTTTCTCCTGATTTACTATTGGTAATTGATATCCCCCCCAGCATGTCCCCCTTCTCATCTTTAACTGTTAGTTTCTGTTATTATTTCTTGTCGTATATGTTTTAACTGCACAGGTTTATTTGGTAGTCTTGTCCTAGCATCGTCACCACTTCGCCGAGGTTAGGCTCGACACTTACAAGCACATGGGGTCAGTTGTACTAATACTACCCTTTACACTGTGTGCAGATCTCGGTACTGGAGCATATGGACCTTAGCTAGGGGTTGCTGCCTTCAGTCCATCAGGAGACCCGAGGTAGACTTGCATGCGTCCGCAAGCCTTGGCGTCCCCTCCCTATCTAGTTCCTTTATGTTCTTTTATATTCCAAAGCTATGTACTTTCTTGTTCAGACTTTATTTGTAGTTTTCTTAGATAGTCCATGAGATTGCGACGCCAGTTCTGGGTGGTTTATATTATAGATTCGTATTGGTATTGGCTTAATTGTTAAATTTCAGTCTTTTGCTTATTTAATTTTTTTGATGTTTATAAAATATTAATTTACAATTGTTAAGTGATTAAAATTGAAAAGGGTAAAATAATTGAAATCATTAGCTTGCCTAGTTTTCACTAGTAGGCGTCATCAGGACTCCCGAGGGCATAAAATCCAGACCGTGACAGCGTTCGCTAGACACCCTACGTGTTCGCGAAGGTGTATCCCCACGACCTTTGCGTTCGCGAGCCACTTTCCGCGTTCGCGTAAAGTATCATTCCCCTCCCCAGTTCCCATTCTTTGCGTTTGCGGTAGTCAGGTCGCGTTCGCAAAGGATAATGCCCCCAACTCTTCGCGTTCGCGGCCATTACCTCGCGTTCGCGTAGAAAGATTGTTTCCTCAGACAAATTTACTCTTCGCGATCGCGAAGCACAAAAGACCGGCGCACCTGCAACAACAAAACAACAGAAATTCCTAAGTTCAAAACGTTCCGAAACCTATCTGAAACTCACCCGAGCCCTCGGGGCTCCAAATCAAACATGCACACAAGTCTAAAAATATCATACAGACTTACTCGTGCAATCAAATCGCCAAAATAACACCTAAAACTACGGATTTTGCATAAAAAATCAATAAAATTCTCAATAACACCTAGAGTTTCTATTTTCACGACCGAGGGTCCGAATCATGTCATATAAACTCCGTTTCTCACCAAATTTCACATACGTGACTTAAATACTATATTAAACCTGTACCGCGCTCTAAAACCAAAATAGGGTCCGATACCAATAAGATCAAACATTATTCAATTTCTAAAATTCATTATATTTTCAATTTAATAATTTTCTTCAAAAGTTTATTTCCCGGGCTAGGGACCTCGGAATTCGATTCCGGGCATATGCCCAAGTCTCATATTTTTTTACGTACCCTCCATGACTGTCAAAATATGGGTCCGGGTCTGTTTACTCAAAATACTGACCGAAGTCAACTTAAATCAATTTTTAAAGGCAATACTTAGCATTTTCTCAAATTTTTACATAAAGGCTTTCCGAAAGCGCGTCCGGACTGCGCAGCAAATCGAATAGAAAGAAAATGAGGCCTTGAAGGCCTGGAACCCTTAATTGGGTTCTAAAATACGAGATGACCTTTTAGATCATTATAAGACCCATAAATTATATTTAAAAAATTAAAATAGAAACGAACTAATGGAATAACATTCTCTAATTGGTATAAGCTTCAATTATTCTTGTTCAAGTGCGATTTTGTTTTGAATAAGGAGCAACTTATGATGGCACAACATTTAATATTTAGTTAAGAATTTTCACTTGATCTATATTTTTACCTCAAATACTATTTTAATTTTATTTAAACACAATATTAACAGATAATAGTTATCTACTAGCCACATTTTTTCTATAATAATATCGTAGTATAACATTTCAGGAATTTATTTATATGATAAAAAATATAATTTATTCATAAATTTGTATTATTGAAACTATAAACGCGTACACGTACACTAAAGTTAACGTAAACTAAATATTTACTGTCATTTTTAATAATTTAAAAATCAAAAATACTTTTTAAAAAATTGACCAAATATAGTTTGCTTATCAAATATTTCAAAAATAACTTATCAATTTGGAGGTGTCAGCAAAATTAGGGGATAGGGAAATAGACATTCTCTGGTAATTTCATTGCGGGAAGTTCGCTGTTAGAGATTTCTTAGTTGAAGATGAGGAGAATTTCTCGCAATGGTATTCCCTTTCTCTTTTACTTTACTATTTCCCGTTCTTGTTCTGCAACTATTGTTAGAATTTACTCTTCAAATTTGGGGTAAATAGCAAGCTTGAGAATGTCAAGTGTTTAGATGAAGCTGTGACTCTCTTCCGTCAAATGGTCAGAAAGCAGCCTCTTACTTCTGTTTTCGACTTCTCGAAATTATTTAAGACTATGCTAAATATGAAGCATTACTCTGCTGTTGTTTCTCTTTTTCGAGAAATGCAGAATTGGGTATCCAGATTGATGGGTTCATCTTGAGTATCGTGATTAACAGTTATTGCTTGATGCATCATGCTGATTGTGCATTTTCGGTGTTAGCCATTTACTTGAAGAAAGGCATTCCGTTTGATGTTGTCACCTTTACCACCCTAATTAGGGGAATCCTTGCTGAAAATAAGGTCAAAGATGCAATTTGCTTGTTCAAAAAGTTGGTGAGAGAGAAGATTTGTGAGCCTAATGAAGTCATGTATGCAACCATCATGAATGGGCTCAGCAAAAGGGGTCATACTGAAAAAACTGTTAGTTTGCTCCGGTTAATGGAACAAGGGAGCACTAAGCCCAACATATTTAACTACAGCATTGTCATAGATTCCCTTTGCAAAGATAGAAATTTAGATGCGGTTATCAGCCTTTTCAACGAGATGAATAAGAAAGCATTTGTCCAAACATATTCACATTTAATTCATTGATTGATGGTTTGTGTAAGTTTGGTCAGTGGGAAAAGGTTAGGACTTTGTTCTCTGAGATGTTAAACCTTAATATTTATCCAGATGTCTACACCTTCAGTATGGTGATTGATGGACTGTGTAAAGAAGGGAAAGTTGAAGATGCCGAGGAAGTAATGAGACATATGAACGAAAAAAGTGTAGAGCCTAATATATTTACTTACACTGTGATAATGGATGGATATTGTTTGCGTGGTCAAATGGATAGAGCGAGGAGAATTTTTGATTTCATGATAGATAAGTGCATTGAGCCTGACATTATTAGCTACAACATACTAATAAATGGATATTGTAAGAAAAAGAAGTTGGATGAGGCCATGCAGTTGTTTCGTGAAATTTCTCGAAGGGGATCAAAGCCTGATATTGTTACCTTCGATACTATATTGCATGGTCTGTTTGAAGTTGGAAGAATTGGCGATGCAAAAAAGTTCTTTGCTGAGATGCTGTCTATAGGGCATGTACCTAATTTATACACTCACTGCACTTTACTCAAGGGTTATTTTACGTATGGACTTATTGAAGAAGCTGTGTCACTTTTTAATGAGTTGGAAAGAAAGAGAGAAAATGCTAATATTGAATTTTACAATGTTGTCATCAATGGATTGTGCAAAAATGGTAAGCTTGACAAAGCTCATGCTATTTTTGAGGTGCTTTCTTTAATTGGACTACTTCCGAATGTGAGAACATACACTATAATGATTAATAAATTTTGTCTAGAAGGGTTGTTAGATGAAGCTAAAGATATGCTAAGAAAAATGGAGGAAAACAGTTGTTTGCCCGATGATATCACTTACAATGTTATTGTTCAAGGATTTGTCAGGTGCAATAGAATTAGTGAAATGGCAATTCTTATGAAGGAAATGGCTGGAAGGGGCTTCTCATTTGATGCAACTACAACTGGGTTATTGATAAACGTTATAAGAAAGAATCCATCCGTCCTTGACATGATACCACAACTTCACTTGGAAAATAAGAATTGATTTTTTATTTTGCTTGTTTTATTCGCCTATAGTATCACTATGATACAGCTTCCGTTTATCCATGCAAAGGTATGTCATCCAATGCAATTGCAGAGGCTGATAAAAGGCAATTAGAACGTTGCTTGAGCTTTCACATCAACTTCGATATTTTTATTGTTTTCCATTCTTCTTTATCTTGGAAATCAATATTACTGCTCTGTTTGTTTAATAAATAATGTGAATTTCCCTTATATGTACACATTATAAGTCTAGGAATATCATTTTCAGTGTTATCTTCATGTATTATCATTTTCTACTATTTGAATATAAATAACTGCCTGCAATTTAGAACTTGCTATAGTTACAATTTTTTCTGAGAGTCTTGGTAATATCAACTAATTGGAACACACAGCTGACAAGATCATCCGTGCCTCACAATAGTAGGAATATTTGTGACATTCCTGAAACTGAAATAGAACTTTTTCAGAAATTGACTGTTAACCCCGTACTCCATATCGTAATTGTCAACTAACTTAGGAGATGGAGGGAAGGATTTCTTTTGAAGGCATAGAAATCTGTTTGCAATTCTCTACTGTAAATGTTTGTTTCTTTATTTTAGATATGGATTTTAGCTTTTTAGTTTATACTCTGCTTTATATTTTAAGAATTCTGAGGGGCAAGTCTTATCTTATACTTCAGCCCTGTGTTATAGCACTAGTAACTTAAAAGTGAGATAGACGCAGTAGCACTTTCCATGATCATGTCTCCACCTGTAGCCTCGTCATATTTTGTTGTCTATGGAATATTGAATCCTGTGGACACTATTGGATAGTAACATATATCTATTATCTTCTATGTTTTTTGTTTCAATGTGATCATGAATCGCCACAAAATTAACCTCGTCTCTAGAAATTTGAATGTCAATTGTCAGATTAACATATTACAGTACACTTAAAAGCTTATGAATTTTCTTCTGACAATACAGGCAATTTGCCAGGCTTAAAAGTTTTGAATCTCCATTTTCTACTGTCTAGTATTTGGAAGATGATTTACTATATGCCAACACAAATGGTTGGTCTTTGTACTTTGTTCTCTTTCTGTTTTGCCTCCTCTCTCTCATTAACACTCTTGAACCAGAAGATCCCTGGAAACCATATCACAGGGAAGATCATCAATGCAACGAAAGTTGGGGACATTATGACAGAAAAGGTAAACTTCAAGGCTTTTCTCGTCATAAAAGAAATTTGCAGCACGGAAATGTGCTTCCTGTCAAAGCTATTCTAGAAGCTAGATTTGTAGTTAGATTGCGATACATATTATTACATGATATCAAATTTTTTTATGTGTGCTTTGCAGAACAGGCTTATCACAGTCACACTCACGCCAAAAATTGAAGTTCTGAAAGCGATGCAACTGATAAAAGGTGATATTTTCTGCTTCATTTTTAAAACCTCTAGCCTTTTTTTTAGTGTATTTGCTTCGGACACAACAAGATGAGTTTAAATACTTTGCAACATGTTAAGAATTATTTAAATGTGGCAGTCCACCAAGTGACCTTATATATGAATTTTATTATTTGTAGCACCCAAGCAAACAGCTTCTCTACTCCGCGGGTAGGGGTAAGGTTTGCGTACACACTACCCTCCCCAGACCCCCACTTATAGGATTTTACTGGGTGGTTGTGGTTGTAGCACCCATGGACGTGCAGTTACAAAATATAAAATTCAATTCATTTGTTGCACGTGAGATGAACTTAGAAAATCTATCATCCTCTCAGCTTTTGTACATTTTTTGTTCTTACACCAAAAAAGTAAAAGAGTTATACATCTGGTTCTGCTTGCAGCCCTTGACATCCTTCATTCACTTGCAAAAATTGGGTCATTTCCTCCATTTCATAGTCATTACACCTTCTTTTCAAAGGTATGTTCCATCCTTGTGGAGACTAATGCACTTCTTCTGTTGCATGAAGATTATTTGCAAAGCTGAAAATCTTGGGAAATTTCTCCTTGAGGGGTCTGTTCCCTATCCATCTGTCTTGCTTGAAGAGGATTTTCCTACCATCTCCGAGTTCAGTGTGAAATTGCTCTGAAAATTTACCCCATAAGTTTCTTAAATATTTCCAATTTGGCATTAGCATCTTTATTGTTCTTCTGCTCTTCTTCTACGATAAGAGAATGGTGGAGGCAGGGAGCAGGCCCCAAACCTGGAACATGGGAAGAACGGGCTGATCCGGGTATATGTTTGCACAATAATGAGTGAACAAGAATTTTACAATTCTCTAAATGCCCTTATTGAAATAAAACCCCTAACCCTCTCCATGACTTCGCTCCCTCACTCGTTACACAATTTTGTCCAAAACCAAACAACATCATCGGCCGCCACCATTAAGAACATCTCAGTCTTCATCTTTATCGATTTTATATTTTGGGGGCAAAGTGCAGACAACTTATTTTAACACAATTCTAACTTTCTTAGCTAAGAGCATAAAATGACTCCTTGGAACGTTCTGACAATGTGATAGATTTCTTTGAATAACTAGGTATCAAGGCCCATCTTTTTGGATCCAACACATCAACGATGCTTCTTTTATTTTTTTGAATTCCAGTTTACAACAACAACAACAACTACCCAGTACAATCCCACCAGGTGGGGTCTGGGGAGGGTAATATGTAGACGAGCCTTACCCCTACCCGAAAGGGCAGAGAGGCTGTTTCCAGTCGACCCTCGGCTCATAGGATAGAAGGAAAAACAGCAGTAAAACAAAAACAAAGACATAAACAATAGAGCATTAGTAAATCCAGCAGAAATAGCGTAAATAATTATCTAAACATAAGAAACATAAATAAAATCGCATGCAATAATATCATACAGTGACTGTGACTGCCATAACTAACAGCCATAGGGGAGACATAAGCTAAAACACAAATTATCTATGGGTACCCCTGCCGACCCACACCCAACCCCGGATGAGGAGTACGAAAAACTCTAGGGGCCCCTATCCTACAACCCTGATACTAGACCTCCAGACTTTCCTATCGAGGGTCATGTCCTCGGAAACCTGCATTCTAGTCATGTCCTGCCTAATCACCTCTCCCCAATACTTCTTAGGCCTCCCTCTGCCTCGCCGACCGCCAACAATCTCCAGCCGCTCGCAACTCCTCACCGGGGCATCGGGACTTCTCCTCCGCACATGCCCGAACCACCTCAGCCTCACTTCTCGCATCTTCTCATCCACCGGGACCACCCCCACCTTCTCTCGAATAACTTCATTCTTAATCTTATCTAACCTGGTGTGCCCGCACATCCACCTAAGCATCCTCATCTCCGCAACCTTCATTCTCTGAACATGAGAGTTCTTCACGGGCCAGCACTCCGCCCCATACAACATCGCAGGTCTAACCACGACTCTATAGAATTTCCCCTTGAGTTTGTGTGGAACTTTCTTGTCACACAGGACTCCTGATGCAAGCCTCCACTTTGACCACCCCGCTCCTATACGATGAGTGACGTCCCCGTCAATCTCTCCGTCCC